GGCAGCGGAGGGCAAGCAATGGCAAGGAGATCCTTGCACAGCTCTGCTACTGACTGCCATTCCAAGCCGTGCCCACTGGGCTGCGGAGGCCATGGGGCAGGGAAGCAGGGTAGAGCTGGCAGTGGCTAGGTAAGTGGGAGCGGTGGGGAGATGGGGATTGAGGCCCCTGTAGGGAGGGAGCTGGGCAGGGCTGGTGCTGCTGCCCAGCTGGGCAGTGCTTGGGGCCCGGGGCCACAATGTGTGGCTGCAGTGCCCCAATGGGAAGCAGAATGGGGCTGTAGGTGGCTCATCTGGAGGAAGGGGAAGGCTGGCTTCCCACTGCTGCATGCACTCCCAGGGGGCAAAAGAAACCAACGTCCCCCAGATTTGTACCCGGGGCAGGCGCAAGCTATGGGCTCCCGCCCTGCTTCACTTCCCTGGGGTCTCTGCAGCCCTGTGGGCATGACCCAGTATGGCTGGGGACAGCGGGGATGCATGTGGATCTCCTTGCTGCTGCTCCCCCTCCCTCTGCCCAGGCAATTCACCCTGCCTGTGCTGCTTCCACAGCCCCGCGTGCAGGAGGCACATCACCAGGGCAGCACAAGGCGAGCAGTGATGAGGAGGTCCCCACACAGCTCTGCTACTGCCTACTGTGCCAGGTCATGCCCACTGGGCTGTGGGGGCCACAGGGGAGGGAAACAGGGCAGCAGGGAGCGGCTCGTGCTGAGAAGCGATACCTGCTGCCAGCTCCACCCTGCTTCACTGCCCCACAGCCTGGTTGGCACAACCCAGCATGGCAGTAAACAGCGAAGCCACCCAGGGATCTCCTTGCTGCTGCTTGCCCCGTGGTGCCCTGGCGATGCACCTTGCCCCGTGGTGCCCTGTGTGTGGGGCTGTGCCCCTCAAAGCTGCGGCAGGCACAGGAGGCATGTCACCAAGGCAGCAAGGGAGGGGAGCAACAGTGAGATCCCCACACAGCCCCGCTGTCCTCAGCTACACTGAGTCATGTGTGCAGGGCTGCAGAGTCCCTGAGGGAGCAAAGCAGAGTGGGAGTCCAAGCCCGCAGCCTGCGCCTGCCCTGGGTACAGATCTGGGGGGTGCACATCTCTCCTGCCCCCCAGGAGTGCACGCAGCAGCAGGGAGCCAGCCCTCCCCCTCCCCTGGACGACCTATTCCCAGCCCCGTCCTGCTCCCCGCTGGGGCCCTGAAGCTGTGCATTGTGGCCCCGGGCCCCAAGCACCAAGCACTGCCCAGCTTTCTCCCTACCGGGGCCTCAATGGCTCTCTCCCCTCCCCCCCCAACACTTACCTGCTTAAACTGTTCTGAAGGCTGCCTGAGGCCACATGTATATACATACATGTACGTGATGCCGCCTCTCACCACCTGTCTCACCAGCAGGCAGTGGCCAAACAATGTTATAACAGGACATTGCGCAACTTTAAATGAGTACGTCCCCAATAGATCAGTGACATAATAATGAAACAATGTTAACTGGGATGACGTTAAGAGAGGAGTACCCATAATCTACCTTTATACTGACATAAATGTGGAGCTGATGCAGCATAAAGCTGAACGCTTGACATCCTACTCACAGCTGAAGCGACCCTGTAGAAAGTAAGGAATAACTACGTACACTGTGGCTAGGGACAGACATTCAAAAAAACTGAGCCTGAATTGATTCAATCTTTGCAGGTTAGTCTAACCTAGCTTGGCTAAATCAGGAGGGAGGAATTCCTGCTTAGCAGGGAGTGGTGAACAGTTGGAGGAGAGCAGCCTGCAGTCTCTACCAGAGCTGCAGCCAGGAAGCAGAGGGGAGGGGCCAGCCCTGCTGTGGAGTAGAGTGCTCCAACCCAGCCCAGAAAGCACGCCGGGATGGTGGGGGTCTCTGGTTTATCTTAAACCAGCAAGGGATCTGGGACAGACATTACATAAACCAATTTGACCCAAATCAGTTAAGCCTGATACTACATTCAACCAGGTTTATCTGAAACCAATTTTCAGACTGGCTTATGTGAAATGAACATCTGTTCTGTTACAGGTTTAAACCAGTTCCTGATCACTTAAACCAGTTTATGTGTAATCTCTGTCCCTAGCCTGTAAGTTAAATGAGTGCATGGCTCATGCATCCACAGCTATAGTCAATTTAATTTCAAGTTTGTCATTTGCACAATGCAAACTGGCTCTTATTGGCTCTTCTGCCACCTAGAAGATGCACCTGGACAGCTTCTATTGCAGGAAGCTACTTCTAGAGAGTTGTTTAACTGTCAGCTCCAAAAGCAAGAATTATTTTGGCTACCGACATGTTATTTTTGAAATGCTATGAAGGGCCTTGTTACATGGTAATTTTGGGTGACTCCTGAAGCTCTTCGGTGCAGACAGAAATGCAGCTACCAGTTGTAACTCAGAACGATTTTTGAAAAGTGTTTTGCGTTACCTTACCCTAGACCAAACAGACGTTCACTGTTGGTTCCAGGGGGGAGGGGAATCTAGCTGCAGGCTGGAAGCCTGCAGCCAGATTCCATTAGCGGCAGCCAGGGCTCTCTTCCAGGGCTCACTGTTTTCAGAATGGGAAGGGGGAGAAAGGCAGCAGAGCGAGCTCATTCTTGGGGCTCCTCACCTGGTGGTGAAGGATGGGGTGGGTGAATTGGAGCCCCCCACCTCAGGGCGGCTCCAATATCTCTGCCAAACCTTCTGGGGAGGGGGGGCTGAAAAACCTCCAGACTGAACTCCCTCCACTCCCTTTCCCCCCTCCCATTCTGAAAACAGTGACAGGCCGGGAGCTCAGCAGACACAAGTTACAAAAGAAGCTATATTTTGAAAAGTCTTTACCTCATGCAATGAGGGATCAGATTTTCACCCAATGACCCATTTTTGAAGCTGTCTGCAGCCATGTAATTGTGTTTGGTCACAGCTACAAACTGCTTTCTGTGGCCAGATAGGGAAAAAAATTGTCAGATCTATCTGCACCCTTAATGCCTGGATTATCTACACATTAACATCTGAAACTGGTTTTAAGCACTCATTATGCTGCTCAAAGGTATGCCAGTCCAGGGCAGGATTATCTCTGATCTGTGCTATTCAGCTTATGTTATATTAAGGTGCAGCCACTCTAGGCTACACCTTAGTGTAAACACCCACCCATCCCCACTCCCTTGCTGAAAGCATAGCGCACTGTGGACTACCAGAAAGGGATAACTGTCCATATGTTAAATTTATTGTGGAAAACCTTTCTGCAACAAAAAAGTTGCTGTATTAAACAGCAAGCCTTCAGGTGCAGACCTGACATTTCGAGGGCCATATCAGTTTCTTTTTTTTTTTTTTTAAGCAGAACACGAAGCCTGAATATGTGACTTCAGGATTTTGGTTCCACTAAAGCAGAACATAAGCATGGAAAATATAATGTGTTTCAGAGTCTTTAGACTGGTGTACAAATAGAAATAAATTATATCATACATTATATCATTTGACTCTAGTGAATTGAGCCAACATTCTGGAGAATATGCCACATTCATTGCGTCAAATAGGAAAAACAAGCAATGATGATGTCCATCCACTTGATGTCAAGTGACATCTTGAGCTCAATATTTCTTGGAGTAATTCATATGATCATAGGAAACCAGGGCTGAAAGGGACCCCATGAGGTTACCTAATCCAGTCCCCTGCTCAAGGCAGGGTCATCCCTGACTAAACCAACAGAGACAAGTTTCTGCCTAAATACTGTATAAGTAGCATTCAATAAAAAAGAAAAACTAAAGAAACTGGAGAATATATTTAATCTTTTTTCTAAAAATGTATACATGTGAATAAATAGGTCAGTATATTATACACTGAAATACTTATTTACATTTTATAATTATAAAAAAAAATCTTAAAACTACATTTAACATTAATTTTTTCAAAACTATCCTAAGAAACAATAGTGTCCATGGTGGTTGACTGAAAATCTCTTTTAAAAGTTAGTCTCTCTCTAGTTATTTGTAGGGAACCAGTAATATTCTGAAAAGGAAAAAGCTATCTAAATAACTGAAACTACTACCAGCTGTAACTCATTTGTTATTAACTCTATGCTTTTCAATATACTTTGCTTTCAATTAAAGATATCATGGACATCCAGTGTGATTATCTCCAAAAATAATTCCTAGAGAAATATTGTCAGCACATTCTCCACTTACTGGGTAATACACAAGTATATCCAATTGCAACTTCCTGGACTTTAGCATTTAGTATTCTTGAGAATATCCACAGTATGCTTAACATACCTTGATCATCTAGTAAACCTAGTGATAACATACTGTATTGCTGCATCAATCAATTGCTTTTAATTCTTATTTTTCACTTGCAGTTTTGCTAATGAAGAGAAAAATAAATGTTTACAAAAAAGCAGTGATCTTTAGATAACATTAAAATGTTACGTTACCTAAGTGCCATGTTATGATGATAGGTTAATTCTGCCAGTTTCATAAAATCAGCTGCATTTTCCTGGACAGGATCAATAAACAGTACCTAATAGGAAAAAAGACAGTATGTACCCACTATTTATTCTTGATAACTACTTTTGGCCCTTTTCTGACTTAGAATCAGAGGCAATATAAAGATTTTAAAACAGGGATGGGCAAAATACAGCCCGTGGGATGGATTTGGCCTGCCAACTGACTGGATCCACCCCATGAATAGGGAACCACCAAGGGATAACATCCAACCTGTGGCTGTCCCTGCGGCATCTAGGTGTCTGTCCACTCCCTCTGGGGGCAACCCATGCCACACCCACCCAGGACAGGCTCCCACCGATAGCCCCAGCTCTAGCCAACACCCACAGATTCCCAGCAGAGCTGTTCCCAGTGTGGCTGCAGCTACCTGGGTACTATTTGCCTCCCCCTGCCTCTAGTGGCTCCTCCCGCTCCTGCTGCACTGCTCCAGGAAGCACGTAGCATGGGGAAGTGATGGCACCTGTGCTGGGCACCACATGCCAGCCAAGTGGGGCTCCAACTCCAGCTCCCAGCCACCTTCCACCCTATCCACCTGCCTGGCGTGCTGAGCAGCCACCCACAGCTGGTTTCTGGGATCTAGTGCACAAGCAACACCCCCACATACACATGCACATCCCCCTCCTACAGACACACAATATACAAGAGTAAGACTTTATTTTGAGTATATTAGGCAATTGCTGCTATATATACTTCTCAAAAACACATAAACCAAGACAAAAATTATTTTTTAAAATAAATTTAAAATATTGTAGATGTTATTGTATATGTTTGATTTTTAATATATGATTTTTTATCTATAATTTGTTACAATATCAGCTGAAAGATTTTTGCAGCCCTCAACAGCTCATCAAAACTCATTAAGAGGTCCACCAGCCAAAATAATAGTTCACCCCGTTTTAGTAGGAACTGTGCAATACTACATACAGTATACAGTACACAGTTCTCTAGTGTCGTCTGGAAATTCATTAAGAATATGCACTGAAACAATTTCAGATTTTATGTAATATTACTAAAAACAGAAAAACAGGGATAATTACCACGTAAATATTACATTATCAGCAGGGATCCTGGTTTTCTCTGATAAAAAAACCAAACAAACAATTTTCGTATTTAAAGAAGTAATCCCAAATCCACATATTTCCGTGATTAAAATGAAACACCACCAAAAGATAGATAGATATATAGTGGTGTTTCATTTTGATCATGGAAAAATGTGGACTTAGGGTTAATTTTTAAGCTGAAAATTGGAGATTTTTTTATCCGAGAAAACCATGATCCCCAATTATCAGCAAGGATCCTTTGTTTTCCCTGATAAAAAATTGAAAATTCTCTGAAAACTCCCCCACAATATATGATTAAAATAAAAGGCCCCCCACAGTGCTGTGGGTGCCCCTCACTCGCCCCCCCCACAGCCTCCTGGCCCTGCTGATGCCCCTTGCTCCCCACCCACAGCCCCCTGTCTCCCCCAGTCCTGCTGGAAGGGGCCCCCAGATGCCAGGGCTACAGGGCCAGGGACCCAGGTCCACAGCCTCCTGCCCCTGACAGGAGGCCACGGCTGCTGCAGAGGAACAGAGCATGGAGCCCAGCTCTCCCCACCCTTGCTGCCTGCTGCTCAGGCGGGGGGTGGGCAGCAGCTCCCCACTACTATGCGCACTCCCAGGGGGTAGGGAGGACCCATGCCCCCCAAATCTGTGTGCAGCGAGGACATGGGGGCAGGCTACCCGCTGCAGGCTTGGGCTCCTGCCCTGCTGCCCTCTCCTGGGGCCTCCGCAGCCCAGCGTATGCAACCTGGCATGGCAGGGAACAGCAAAGCCACACACGGATCTCCTGATTCTGAGGACCAGCATCTAATGTAGTGGTGATGGTAGTGCCAGTGCCAATACCCTAATGGTTAAAACACTCACTCCGCAGTCTGAAAGCATTCAAATGCACATCTCCCACTTTCCCAAGCACCCAGCTACAAAACAGGCTGGTTAGGGGCATCCTTTAGCCATCCTGTTGCAGCTGAGCCACTAGCACCCCAAGAGTGCAAGATTCATGGAATCAGAAGATAACAAAGAAAAAAAGGAGCCTGACTTTTCAGCATCGTTAGGCACTACTGTGGCGAGGAGGAGTCCTAAATTTTGGTTCTTGCTGCTGGGGGTATTTCTGATTTTTTAATAAGTGGTTTTAAAATCAATATAGAGTCCTGGAAGAAGAGACCAGAAGCTAGGTCTTACACATCCCAGAGGAGTGCTGTAACCACTAGGTTGCCAAGGCATGCTCCCTCTTTTGTTCTCCTTCTGCTCAGAATGCTCAATTTGCAAGTACACAAAACCTAAGAAATGTTACACTGATGCTGCCAATCGTAATAGGCCCGTCCCTCCTTTTGGTGCATATGTAATATTACAGTCCCTAACATGTGATCAAATAGTATTTTTTCCACAGTCTTTTGGCCTCATTTAGTACATTCTGGGAATAAGTTAGGGATGTGTAGTAAAGGAGACTATTGTATGTGGGAGCCTGCCTCTGGGACCTTTTGCCAAAGCTGAAAGGTGTGTGGTGACTGATGCAGGGGGTGCAGGAAAAAAATGAACATTTTTATGGTTTAGGCCATGGGTTACCAAGATACAGCCTGCAGGCTGGCTTTGTCTGTGTCTGCACCAGGGCGAGGCAGTGAGGAGCTATGCTGGGGCTAGGCAGCTTCTGCCTGCACCCATGCTGCTGCCATTTCTTCACATCCTCACAGCTCCAGTTTAATACAGAATGGGTGGTTTCAGCAGCACGTCAGTAGTGGGACACTTTGTCTGTACCCCTGCTGGGGCCAGGCAGCTGGGAGTTGTGCTTGCACTGCTGCCTCTTCTGCCAACCCCTCCTCTTCCCGGCTGTAATGTAGTTGCAGCTTCCAATGTGTAGGGAACTGTTCTGGGACAGGTCTTTGCAAACCAAGTTTGAATCCTTGTGACTTCTTTCCACTCCCCTCAACTGTGGCTCTTTTCTCCTACTACCTGGGTGCACCTACACGTGTGCTTTAATGCACAGTAGCCTATTTTACTGTGCATTAAAGCATCACATAAAAAACTGCGATTCCGCTAAACTGCAGTAAAATAGGCTACTGTGCATTAACTGTCACTTAAAAACTATGAGCATTTGGTACTGTGCATTAAGGCAGCCTAACATGCATTTGTTTAGTACTGTACCTCACATCAGAAGTACTAAATTTAATACGCATTAGGAAAAGTGCTTTAATGTACATGTAGATGTGCCCTTTATGTCACAAACACAAAACAGTAAGACTACCAGTTACAGAGAAAATATACTTTACAATAACAGCTCCAGTGGGGAGCTGTGCTGAGGCCAGGCAGCTTCGATTAATTGATTCAGGTCACTGTCCCTGATTCGCTTCAGCCAAATCCAAATCAAGTAAGGCCTGCTTTGCACACTGCTACTTAGCATGTATAATTCCTCACAAGATGCTTTGGTATCACTTATCAAATTCATCTATCTGAACAGCTGTTCAATGAGTACTTTTCAAAGGGGTCTGGATAACTAAGGATATACCATACTTATAATCTAGATGGTTTTAACCAACAAACTAGTATAAATTTTGTATGTCTTTCCTAGCCAGTAATACAAACACCTAATAAAATAAGTATCCGAAAACTTACCAAATTATACAAATTGCGCCTAATCTGCTTTATAACTCCTGGAAATGTTGGTGTAAGCAGTTCCTGGAAGCCGGTGGGCCATGTGCTGTAGATATGATCTTTTTCTATGTTATTGACCCACTTAAAAAAAACAAATAAAAAACCGAGGTCAGCAATTTATAAAGGCCACAAATGTATAACTGCATCAAATATGTATACCCCAAACTACTGTCAATTACACATTTTCCCACAAAATGTAATAAAGAGGAAAGGAACAGGGAAACCAGCATCTAAGTAAACGAGTATAGAAAATGAACTCCAAAATATAAAACTATATATTGTCTGCAATGACAATTTGTTGTCGTAGCAAACAATTTTAAGAAGAACAACTGTAAGGCCCAATCTACACTTAAGTTTTGCCAGAAAATCTTTGGAAGCATAAATGCATCTCCTGGCAGAAAAGTGTTCCTACTGGTTCAACAATAACTTACAATGGCTAAAGCATTTTTATGCTGTTGTAATAGCATCCAGACCAGGACTTTGTCTGGTATGCAAATATCACAAAAATGATACCCCTAACTGACAGTATTACATCAGCAAACATTTCTAGAGATCTCATCTAAAAATAAAGAGCATTTATACACAAAAAATTTTGTGCCTGTACACACCGGAGATCTGGCACATAGGAGCAGACTTGATTAATCAAAACAGGCAATGATTAATCGAGTCTGCTCCACACATGACCTGACACACATGGTGCTGCGTTGCTTGCAGTTGTATAAGTAAAATGTGCATCAGCATGGAGAAAATGGCAGCGGTGTGCTTTTGAACTAAAACATCTTCTATGCATTCTGGTTTAAAAGCGGACCACCAACATTTTCTGCATGCTGATGCGCATTTCGCCACTTATACAACTGCAAGTGTTGCAGCACTGGATGCTTTCCGGTGCTACGGCGCTTGCATGTGTAAAAATGCCCAAAGAGAAGTTGTTCCCAAAGTACAAAACTTTTTCTTTATTGTCAGCTAGGTCCAATTTTAAACACGTCACTGACTTCAACTAATTATTCATGCTTTTCTGTTTTCCTCAATAAAGGCAATGATGAGCACACCACAGAAATACTGACACTTTTAAAAAGTTATAGAATGTTACTACCCAACATAAAATATGATAGTGCATAATTATTACATATTTTAAAACAGTGGTGTGTATATGTCCCACAATTGCTGAAAGCAATGTTAATTTATTTTTCTTTAAATAAATAAAATCCTTAGAGGTTCTGAGACAGAAGGTACAGCAGGGTGGCACCTTACAGACTAACTAGTTCAAAGAGGTATGATCTTTCATGGGCAGCAGTCTACTTCATCAGATCCTAAGAATGGTTTGGTAGAAAGAACATTTTTTATAAAAATGAAAGATACATGGGTAACCACCACTGCAGGTTTGTGAGGTCTAAATTGAATTTAATACGAACATGAAAATGGACTCTTAGTTAAGATTATTTTTACAAAAATAGAGGTGCACTACCATTAGAAGAAACAGTTATAATTCTGTGTTGCAATATGACTAAAATCAGTTTCAAAGTGTAAAAATTCCTCTCACAGCACAAAGGCCATATAAAGCAAATAAAAATAATACTCTCTCACCCATGGGAGCATATAATATATATCACAATATACGAGTAATTACATTTTGGTCAATTATCATCAGTTTTTATATACTTTTCAATAAGGAGGCAATTTGGCATCCCATGAGGTTTTTATTTTTCAATCTTTTCCTCAATTAAAAGGACATATATCATTTGTTATAATAGATTGTTATTTAATTGTTTTCCATAGATGTTTGTGCATAATTAATAAAGGAATGAAATATGGTGCCTTCAGATGAAAATATTAATATTTTCTAGTTGTACACAAGCTATATGAAAAATTGTATCTAGTACTATGATAGAATTTTAAAAGTGAAGGAATATGGTCAGTGGTTAAAAAAAGAGGACTGGAAACTTAAGATGGGTCTTTGTCACTGAATTATTGGGGACCTATGGGCAAAATACTTAAGTTTTCCATGCCTCAGTTTCCCATCAGTGAGTGAAATGTTAGAGGCTAGGAGCTAAAAGTTATTTAGACATATATCTCCCATTTTAAACTAACCTCCCATCAAAGTCAATGGGAAATCAATGGACATTTACATGCCTAATTCAACTTCAGCTACTTCCTAAATGTACTGTGTGGCTAAATTACTATTTGGTTTAAGCCTCAGTTTCTTAAATAAAACACTAGTTAAATGTAAATGTCATCATCAACAAATATCAAAGTGGATATTTAACAAGTCCTGTTTCTTCTAAGCATCTTTTGAATTCAAATCTTTTAATGAGGCATAGGGTAAAGGATATTATTTATACAATATCAATATTGTGATAGGTATACAGCTACCCCTGAGGAGTATTTTACATTTCTTATTGACATTTAATGTTTTTACTAGTCTTTAAACTCAAAAACTGACAGAACAGAAAGTATGTAAAAGACACATGTATCACCAAAATATAGACTGGCAAACTCTATCACATCATCAAATATATATTTTTAATACTAAGCCATTAATTGTTTACTCACTGTTATTGAAGAATGACGAATATCTAATGCATAACCACCATTTGCAGGATGGATATCTAAATTCCTAAGTTTGCTAAGAACCTCCTCTTTGATTCCAAGTTCATGAAGACCATGCATAACTTTTCCCTCCATCTTAAGAGTTTCTAAAATACTTATTATTAAAACAGAATGCACAGTTTTGCACGTAAGCATTTATGATGACATAAAGAAAAATAAAAAATTTGAAGCAGCAAAGGATATTTTCAATGATAAAAATATTGCAAAAGACACACTTTCCCCTGCAATGAACTAATTTGTTTTTAATATAGTTTCATCCTTTCATCCTTTTTAAACACCTTTCCAAATAGCATTAAGGATATAACTTTAACTACATTTCCACATTCTTTTAGAGAACAGGAATAAGTCTAGTTGTCTGTCCAAGAAAATATACGGAAAAATCATAGCTTTATTATGAAAAAACATGCAAACATCACATTTTTAGTTTTAAAATGGAGTGCAGCATACATTTTTTTCCAGTTACTGTAAATCTTTTTTACTTTAGAAAAGCTATAAATACATATTAAATTCATTCATGTAGAAAAATCCATAAATCACATTAAATAGTGATAATAAAAAATAATACAACGGCTGCTTTGAAAATATAGATTATATACTAATTCATAGGATTTTCAAGATCTTGTGTTACTTCTAAGTACATCTTTATATAAACAAAAAAGAAATACTCTGTAGAAGCAGTCTGTGGGATTTAATATGACACCATTGGATGACAGGATGATTGGTTACATTTAGAAACATTTAGAAAATCATTTTTGCAACCATGAAGACTGGAAATTTCATTTTAAGCAAGAAAGCAGAAGGAATTTCATAGAGGATGAGTGAATAATCACTTTAAAATCCCAAATTTCTTTAGAATTCTGTGATGAACTGGGGCAGCTTAACAAACAACCAGCCTTAACAACAGTATGTCTAACAATATGAAGATGATTTGAAAGAAGCTTATGATGAAAAAAGCTTATTAGTTACCATATTTATTTGCCTACCATATGTATCTTTCCCCCCAAAAAATAGCTTTCAAAAACTGAGGTGTCTGAAGTTGGGAAGTTGATTTTCTGCCAAAAACAGAAGCATGGAGATGCTGTAAGGTAGCTGTTCTTTCTTTTCTTTCTCTTCCCTCCATATGGAGGCAAGGGCAGAGTCCAGCAGGGCAGAACCAGGAGGTGCAGTAGTGTAGTCACATCCAACTTTGATCCCTGCTTCAAAGTTTAAAGTTTAAGAACAACTGTCTAGCAGCAGCTGTGGCACTTCTATTTAGGCAGAGCTGAAGAAAACAATTGACTTAATAACTCAAGCCATTCAACAGGTCTTTTTTTTAATGGTCTTTATGTTCTACTAACTAAGCTGGGGCCTGGGGGGGTAGGGCCTGTCCCACAGTGCTCTGGAGCTGGCAGAGCTTCACTCAGGGCAGGCAGCAGCTCCTCCCTGAGGTGAGGCAAGGCAGGGATGGAGGCTGAGGCAGGGGGCTGGAGTGGGCTCTGCCGGCTCTGGGGAAGTCCTCCCCTCCCCAGCCCCGATGCGGGGGAGTGGAGCACTTCCCCGGAGCTGGTGGAGCCCACGTGAGGCTCCCGCCCCAGGCTCTCCTGGTGTGTGGCCTTGAAAAGGCTGTGCGTGACCACACTTTAGTTGTGCGTGGCCACACATGCGCGCACGTTAGAGGGAACCTTGGTTAAAACTATAGGTTTTATCTGAGCAGGAAAGGAAGGGCAAGTAAGCTGAAGATCAGGCTCTGTTCCTGGTCTATTCAGCCATAACTCTGGAAAAATGTTTTTTTCCTTCATTCTTCTTTCCCAAAACTAATGTGTGTATTATTTGGTGCACGTGGTGTGAGAGAAAATACAGTACTAAAACAATATAGAATTAATTATTCATGCTTTTAAATATTATTGAAAACTAATGTGATTCAAACTGTAATTCTTAGCAGACTGCCTTGATTTTCACATGCACTAATTAAAAAAATTACCATGCATGTACATGTTTTCTCACATATCTCACAACTGCTCCCCGCAAATAACACACACAAGTTGTTTTGGGAAGGCAGAATGAAGAAAACAAGATTTTGACAGTCATGACTGAATTCAGGCCACACAAGCAGGGACAAAGTCTACTTTTCATCACTCATTCTCTCCTCACAAGCTCTATAGCTCAAACTAACTGTCAAAGCCTCTAGTAGTGAATTGGCAGCAGCATCCTTCTGATGCCCAGACAAAAGCTGCAACTACTTCAGCAGCAGTTGTGACAAGGTTAAAGCTTAAGCTACAGAGCTTTCAAGGAGAGAGTGAGTGACACCAGATTCCACCCTCCTGCATGCAGCTGAAGTCAAGCACACTGTCAACCCTGGCATCCATTACAACATTTCTATACCTTCATGCCAGCGCAGAAATCAGTTAAAATCAACCTTAGTTAAAACTCAGCCCCCATTATGGAATGCCTAATTTCTGGGAAAAGGGTGTGAATGGTATGCAGGTACATACAGTAATTTCATTTTTCAGAAAACAACATTTTTGCCACCTCTTCTACATATGCATACAATATTTCTTACACTCTATAATTTCATTTCACATGATAAGTTGTCCTTATTATAAAAAAAATTTTCCAAAGGCAAATGATATTATATATCATCAGAGAACATTTGCATAACAAAGGCAAACCAAAAGTACACCAGCATTTTAAATCTTTACTGGACTTATCATTTAAATTTGTGTTCCACTGTGAGCAAAAGTTAACTCATTATGCAAAATCTGGAAACTAAAGAATAAATTCAGTAATTAAGTTCTTACCTAAATGGATCATGAAAATCCAGGTCAATATGAAGACCGTTTAGAAATAAACGTGCTTCTCCAGGCTGAATACCAAGTGTTTCATGGAAATGCTTGAAACACAAAGGGAAAAACTGCTAGTTTACTTAGGTGCAAGTCAACAGCAGTGTGATCATCATAGAGGACATTCCGGTTTTCTGCTCCTTTGTCCTTTATTGATACAAAACCCGATGCCTTTATGTGTCCGGTTTCATATCAATAGAGGGCAGAGGACTACCAGACTGCCCTCTATGATGGCCACCCTAGTCAACAGTAAACAATCAGTCATGCATTTAGAACTTGAAATAAATCCTACTGTAACAATTTGTTATGTGTTCCACAATATTTACATCTAATCCGTTGACTTTCTGAAAAATCTGGCAGGAAAGTTCCAGGCAATGTTCTTTCATAATCAGGATTTAATATATTAGTAATGCCTAATATAAACAAAAGCTATAGAAGTCAGGCAAATTCAAGCCAAAGACATATTCTTAATATTTGCCAGCAGAAAATTCATAATACTCAGCAAATGAAGGAAAGTACCACTCAAACTTTGAAAAACTATCCATCCATGCAAGTTTCATCCAACCATAGCTAAACCAAAAAAATTCTATATTGTGCTATATACTAATGAATTGCTAGCAAAGAATAAAGTATAAATACTGAAAACATATTCCTAAGACAACAGTCATTATTTCATTAAATGCAACATTTAAGAGACATCGTCAAATATAAAATTCCACTTCTGTATAAAGATATTTCCTCTACATCTTATACTGTAGATAACAAATGAAACTGTGAAAATTGTAAGAAAGTTAAATAAAAAATATTTTTCCTGTATATTTTCCATGTGTTTCCTTTGAGCATTTAATAGCACCGGCTAAACTGTCTTCTGCTGATGGCCTATGGTACTTCCTGTTTCACAAACCATAGATGACTATACAATTGTATTATTTGGAGGAAGCACATATGTATACTCTCCCATAAATTATTCAAGAACTTCTCTGAATTTGCACTGGTGTGGATTTATTTTTCAGGAGCAGTGAACAGAGACAGGTATGCAGAAGAGCTACAAGATAGTTAACCTCCAAATCAATGCATGGTATAAGGCAGTACTGATTGTCTGAAAGGGCAGCAAGGAGACCCCCACCTATCACTTTCAGACCTCTACACAGAACTTAAAAGAGATTTCTTCCTATCACTGGAGGCATACAACTCACCTACAAGGCTTTCTATATAATGTTGGAAGAAGCTTGGTCAGAAAGAAAAATCATATCCCACAGTTTACTGGGAGGAGAGAGGAACCAGAGAGCAACTAGAAGGCATAACAGCAAATGAGCGAGACAATTAGAGTAGAAAAAGGCAGACAGATACCAGAAGAATGAGAAATAAGAGAAGGTATACCTTAAAAACCATCCTGCCAGATCACTGAAGCAATAGAAAAAGCAAAGGGGAATATATCTTATTCCTTAGTCTCCTTACAGTTGTTGGAAATCTTGCATTGATGGGAAATATAACAGGATTCTCTCTCATAGTTCACAATCTACACCTAAGAAATGCCAGAACTAGATCCTGCATGAGGGATGTAGGATGCAGTATTATGTCCTAGATCAGGGATGTCAAACTCATTTGTCCCCCACAAGCTACATCTTGATTATGGGGCTTTTAACAGGCCAAATCTGAATTCCAGGGCTTCTTGTGAGCTAGATTCAGACCACAAGCAATAACAACATCATTAAGCCCTGGGGCTGCCAGAGTTTTTGTATGGGCAAGGCTCTGGAATGTTAACAGGGTGTTAACACAGCTCCCACTCACCTTTTACCTTGTTGCTGATTTTAGTTATCAACAGCAACATTAAAGTTACTATTTAAATGTTCTGATGTTTACACTTCCTTGAGCTACCTGGCTGGAGGAAGTTCAATTCTATTTTTGACTACTGTATTGCTGCTTGCTGCAAAAATCACCAAGGACCTCCAAAGAAGAGGGATTTTTATGTGCCCACAAGTTTATCCCTTTGCTTAGATGAAGAAATAGGATAGCCTTATTTGTAAGATACTCAGGACTCATAGTAGAGATGATATCTTTTATTAGACCAACAAGATTTTAGCAAAATTTTGTTTATTTGTAAGGCTACACTGTTTTTCAGTTATGTAACTAGCTACTACTTCCTTCAAGGAAATTTTTCTAGTAGCCACCTGAAACAAGCCTTTGAGGCATACACATCTAAGAAATAAGAATATGCAACAATATCAAAGAGGTTAAAACTTCATTATACACTGCTAAAAGATTTCTTCTGAATGTTCTCATAATAGGCATTCACTTAGTTTTCCCATATATCTTATCCCACTAGGGGAAACACCTTGCTGGACTTGGTGCTAGCTACAGGGGATGACCTGGTGCAAAATCTTCAGGTACAAGGTAACCTAGGGGATAGTAACCATCGATTGACTGAATTCACGATCCAGCGAAGGGTGGGTAAAATAACCAGCAGGGCTGAAGTGCTAGACTTCAGAAATGCTAACTTCAGTATGCTCAGGAGATTAGTTAGTGAGGCATTTAAGTTCAAGAGCACTGGCAAAATGGGGGTCCAGGAAGGGTGGTCATTCCTCAAGGGAGTGATCCTACGGGCGTAGACAATCCCATTGTGCATAAAAGGGGCCAAGAAGTCCTCTTGGCTGAACAGGGAAGTCCAGGAAAGCCTAAGAGCAAAGAAAGGCTGTGGAAACAGGGGGTAGCTACCAAGGAGGAGTATATCTCCCTGGCTCGCACTTGTAGGAAGTCAGTTAGGAAGGCAAAAGCAAGATTAGAACATAGGCTGGCAACAAAAATTGAGGAGAAGAAAAAGTCCTTCTTCAGGTATATAGGGAGCAAAAGGAAGGTGCAGAGTAGCATAGGACCCCTACAGGACAAACTAGGGCAATTGGTGACAGAGAGAGGGGACAAAGCTGTGCTCTTCAATGAGTTCTTTGCATCTGTATTCCTAGACACAGACCAAGACAAATCTCCCAACTGGATCATAGAGAGACACGGGAGGGACACCAGCCCACCAACTGTTAGCGCAGAATTAGTGAAGGGGCACTTGGAGGGGCTGGATGTGTTCAAATTAGCGGGCATGTATGAACTTCATCCAAAGATGCTGAACGAACTAGCCAATGTCATACAAGAGTCGCTGGCATGGCTGTTCGAGCATTTGTAGTGCTCCGGTCAGGTCCCTGAGGACTGGAAAAGGGCCAATGTGGTCCCTGTTTTCAACAAGGGGAGGAGGAAGGAACCAGGAAACTATAGGCCAGTTAGTCACACCTCTATCCTTGGGAAAACTCTGGAAAAAATCATTAAGTATTACATTTGTGAGAGCCCAGCAAGGAAAATAATGCTGAAAGGAAATCAGCATGGATTCAATGCAGGTAGATCCTGCCTGACTAACCTTGTTTCTTTTTACGACCAGGTCACAAAATGCTTAGATGCAGGAGTTGAGGTAGATGTCATCTACCTACACTTTAAGAAGGCCTTTGATACAGTATCTCATTCTGTTCTTGTAAATAAACTGACAGGCTGTGATGTAGATGATTACATGGTCAACTGGGTGGCAAACTGGCTTAGGGGTCGCACCCAGAGAGTGGTGGTGGATGGGTCGATATCAACCTGGAAAGATGTGGGCAGTGGAGTCCCACAAGACTCAGTCCTTGGACCGGTGCTATTCAGTGTCTTCATCAGTGACTTGGACGAGGGTGTGGAGAGCACCCTGTCCAAGTTCGCAGATGATACCAAATTATGGGGCAAAGGGTTAACACACCAGAGGGTAGGGAACAGATCCAGGAGAATCTGGACAGGTTAGAAAAATGGGAATAATGAAATACGATGCAGTTCAACAAAGACAGTGCAAAGTGCTGCACCTGAGCAAAAAAACCAGCAGCACACTTATAGGCTGGGGATGATCTTCTCAGCAACACAGCAGCAAAAAGGGATCTTGGAGTCATAGTTCCTGTATTCTGGAAGTTAGAGGCCAAAACTGCAAAATCTTGTGTTGCACAAAAATGCAGAAATGAGGGATAGGGACCATTCCACAGGACAAAAGAATGAAGAACCACATGCTACCAGTGCCTCTCAAACTGAAGGGGTGTAAAGAAAAGACTCAGAGTCTATAACCAGTGACAACCAAACAAATTTCTCAGGCACTTAATTCTGAACAGATGTCTCTGATGAAGTACTGCATGCCGATGAAACCAAAGTTTTAGCCAACAGGGCTTAATTAGCAATAGAGAAGCAGCAGATAAATCTTAAATGGCAACCAAATCTAAGTCCACACAACACTAGATAAAAGACCTGACACAGGACTTGTAGCCCTCAAGCACAGAGAATTCCAGATTTGCACCATGCCTGTGGCCACTGTGCAATCTCTGATATTACTGGAATTGAAGGACTCTAATGAGCTGGCAACAATTGGTAAAAGTATACATATTCCTGTATCAATAAAGTTTGGCAGCAGCTTGCACAATTATCACAGAGCTCTTCAGGAGAAAACCAAGCAAATGGAGCAGAACTGTAGTAGTGAATGTTGCTGATATTCTTATCAATAGTGGATTTCTTATGGTTATTGAAAGCATAGTTCTGAATCCTACAGGCTTAGGGACACAATTAGGTGCTAATATTGCTAACTGTGAAGGAAAAGACTGTAACTGGCTGATCCAAAGTATGCAAAGTTTAACACTAAGGGCCTTATTACATCTGAGGCTGTGAGCCACACAAAGCTTGATTGGTGTTAATGGTAGCTTGGACTCTGGAGTAGTCACAACCTTGGTTTAGAAACCTTCTCTGACTGTCCCCCACCATCACTGTTGTGACTCTCCAACAGAGGCCTGGAGAGCAGTGGCATGAATAGGAGCTGTAGCTGTGAGTTGCTACTATGGCTAGGTACAGACATTCAAAAAGCCTGAGTCAGAATAGATCTAAGTTATGTGGTTTTCTGTAAGCAGCTTAATTTAGATCAATAATGAACAGAATACACATTCATCTTTGGTGTGAGGGGCAAGGGGATCCAAATCTTAAACCAGGCTCCATCATTTTTAAACCAGTT